GCGCTGCACATACATGCACTTATGGATCATCCTCCGGGGGACATCGACATGTTTTTTATGTATGTAAAAGAGGGGATGCGAATGTTGGACGGAGGGTCGAGACGCGTCCAAAGCTCCAAAAAGAAAAACAGCAAGAGGGCTAGGGGCAAGGGGGGATAGCGCGTCGTAATAGTATTACTAAAACTCGCTAATAGGCCGGTCGGAGCGGATTTTAGAAGGAATTTTATTAAATTTTCAAGTTTAAGCGCAGACCTCGAGACTTGAACGCAAGCATGTTTAGGCCATCTAGAGTGCCGAACAAACTGCCGAACAATTTCTTGACTCGGGCGATGTGGTCGAGTGCAGCCTTCTTGAGCTGGGGAGCTGCCGTAGTATGCGCTGTGGATGGGACGTCGGCCAAACCGAGACGCGCAACCTGCTGGGAGGAGCTACAGCGGCTCCGCTCCTCATGCTGGTTTTCGCCAAACCGAGGCGTTGAGGTCCTCGTACACTCATGTCGCGCCTCGAGTAGGAGCCATCACGCTGCCCAGCGCTGGACCGTCGTAAGGTCCGGCCATAGGCCAGCTCGCAGCACTGTATGAAGTGGCAACAACATGCGTGTGCTGTCGAGCGACGCATACAACTTCACAACTTCACAGTGCTTGTGGGTCGTGTGCAATCGTCTATACACTCTTGTCATCACGTCGCGCACATCACGAGCGCATCGTGAGGGCCATGGCGGCGATCCACAGCGCGTTGCGCTGGGCGAACTTGCGCCGCTCGATGGCGGGAAGGCCGTGGCGGCCAAGGAAGAAGTCGAAGCGGTGGAGCACAAAGGCCGGTCGCATGTGGATGAGGTGGAAGGTGAGGTGGCCCGCGTCGACGACGTTCTTGACGAGGAACGACAGGAACGCCGCGATGAGCCGGTCCGTCGCCGTTAGGTGCCGCGCCTCGGGCCCCTGCAGCGCGCGGATCGTCTCACAGCCGACCTCGATAATCCAGATCGCGCCGAGGAGACGGAGCACGAGGATGCACGGCACGAGCCAGCCCGCGGTGAGCACGAGGGCGAGGCTGAGCTCGACGACGTTCGGGAAGGAGATGTAGACATACTGCGGGTGCTTGTACAGCAGATAGCCATCACCCATCGTCCACTTCCAGAAGCGGTGCAGGTAGGCGAGCGCGCGGCCGTCGGTGCACGGCCACCAATCGTGGATCACCTTCGCCTCGACGACGCGGCCGAGGGGCAGCTTGAGCGCGTGCACGAGCTCGACGCAGTAGTCGACGTCCTCACCTCCGCCCGTCTTGGCATACACGGTGTCGAACTCAAGGTCATCGACGCGGCGCACCATGATATTCGCTGTCACGCCCCACGGGACAGTCTCGCCCATCCACTTGGGCAGGTTGTAGAAGAACGTGATGTCACTCAGCCGAGTCGCCTCGTGAAGGAGGTTGGCCACCGGCGGCAGGATCGTCGAGCCGACAAACCCCGAGTACTTTGCGCCGCGGTCGGCGGCCGCGAGGGCGTACGCGTTGAGGCAGGCTTGCGTGACCTCGACGTCGTCATCGAAGAAGAGCACCCACTCCGCGCACGCCTCGGCGAGGCCGCGCGAGCGCGAGGTGGACGCACCGACGTTCTCGGGGTTGACACGGACACGGACTCGTTCGCTCTGAAGCTTGAGGATCTCGTTCAGGTTGGGCGCGGAGGGGTTGTCCACGACGATGATGTACTTGACTGAGCAGCCCGGCGGGTCGTGTAGGCTCGTCATGCGCCACAGCAGCTCGCATGGTGTGCGGAAGCTCGGCACCACCACGTCGATCGTCACGAAAGGAGCCGCGGGCGAGCCGA